AAAATAATATGTCTGAGACATGACTATTCAGATTATTTGCCATTTTTAAATTTGGTTTACTGGGGTTTTTTTTGCTAAATGTTTTGAGTTCCTTATATACTCTGGACTTTAGTTCCCTGTCAAATAAATGGTAGGTAAAGAATTCCTCCGCATTTATGGGCTGGTTCTTCATTTTATTGATTGTTTCCTTTGCTGTACAAAAGTAATTTAATTTAATGTGGTGCTATGTGTCACTTTTGGGCTTTCATTTCCTGAGTTATTGGAGTCCTATTGAGGAAATTATTGTCTACACCAATATCTTGAAGCATTTTCCCTATACGTTCCTCTATTAGGATCAAAGTTTTTGTCTTTGATATGTTTTTAGTTTGTTTTGTGCATAGTGAAAGAGGAGGATCTGGTTACAATTTTCTGAATGTTGATATCCTGTTTTCCTAGGACCGCTCCTTGATAAGGGTCCTTTATCTGATGTGTACTTTAGTTTCTTTGTCAAGATCTTTTGACTGTAGCCTTATCAACTTGCTTCTGGGTACGATCTTCTGTTCCACTGATGGGTGTGTCTGTTTTTAAGTCAATCTCTTGCTGTTTTGTTTCTATAGTTCTGAAATAGATTTGAAATCAGGTATTATGAAACATCAGACACCACCAGTTCTGCTTGGGATTGTTTTGGCTACTTGGGCTCCTTCATGTTTCCTAATGAATTTCAGGATTGTTTGTGTCCAGCTCTGAAGGGTCTGTCATTGGTGTTTCAGTGAGGTGAAACCTTACCTACACCTTACGCTGAACCTGCAGATCACTGTGGGTGGCACTGTCTCTTGCACAATATCAATCCTCCCAGGCAAATATGGAAGTTTGTCCATTGTCTGGTGTCTTTGATTTCTTTCTTCAGGGTTCTCTAGTTATCCGTGTAGAGGTGTGTGGCTTTTCTGGGGAGATGTGAACAAATATCTATTATTGTCCTTTAATCTCTTTTTCACGCATTTGTTGAGCTGCCATTCATACTTTAGAACCTTCCAGGCGTTCACTAGCACAGCATGAGGCTTCCTGGAGACTATTTTTCCTTAGGGACTCCAAGCTCTATACAGAGTTTGCTACATTTGTTTTCAAGTAGGTCCTTGGTGTCATTTTTTCTTCTCATCACATCTTGATTGCTCTAGTGACTTATGAACTCAATTTGCATGTCAACCTAAATCATTCAGATCCTCCAGCATGCCTTCTACCTCATGAAGATCATACCCCACCATGGGAGTCAGAAAACCACTGAAGTCCCTGCTGATGAATTAACTCCCTTATTAACTTCCCTGTGAGGTGAACACAGTTCTATCCGGCCCACTGACCTGGATATCAACGTCTGCCTCTCACACGCTCAACTCCCTCATTACTGCCTGTCCTTTTGTGCCTTCCAGTCCTGGATATCAATGGTGGCCTCAGCCTTGATAACCATGTGTCCCTAATAACTCCCATGAACCAGTGGGAGACTGGTGTCCCTCATTTTGCCTCAGGTCTAAAGAAGGGATGGGCAGCAGCGAAGGGTATCTAAATATGATTAAGATGTATTATAGAAAATCCGCAAACATTCACTAAAATATTGAACAACAACAACAACAAAAAGGGATGGGTAGCTAAATTATTCAGATTCTTTGCTTCCACAGCACCCAAATGGATCTCATCTGCTCATAATGTCCTCAACAAGTCAGATGGTGAGGGACTCTCATTCCTTCTTTTGTACTGAGGGACATTTGGGTATAAAGCTTGACCAGCCAACCCTTAACATATAAGACAGAATCCATGAAATCTGATGGGGGGAGGGGCTGTGAAGGGAAGCAGATGGGGACAGAGGTCTAACATGATTAAAATTTATTGTATGAAGTGCACAAACACTCAAAAATATTAATAAAAATAAATATTTCAAGCAGTTCAGCATGTAGAGTAACCCCTAATTATGATAGTTTCCTACAGTGAGCCATTATAGAGGCCCCCGCTGTCATGCATTATGAAATTTTCTTCCTCTGTATTAAAGGTTGGATTTGAAGGGTATCTTCTGTCCCTTCTGTGTCATTCTCTTCCTCCTCAACATCTGATTCTTCTCATGTATTGCAACTGTTAAGATTCCAAGAAGTTGGACTGGAGAGATGGCGCAGAATTTAAGAGCACTGACTGCTCTTGCAGAGGACCAGGGTTTGATTTCCAGCACCACATGGTGCCTAACAACTATCTGTACCTCCAGTTTCAGGGGATCCAACATCTTCTTCTGACCTCTGCATGGACATTGCATGACATGGGTGCACTTACACAGAGTTATTTTTGCTATCAGGAGAATCATATATTGACAGTTCTTATAAATTAATTAGATTTTATATGAACAAATTGGATGATAAATTTTATACTATTTTGATAATGCTGGTTGGCCTGACAAACTGACCAGCATTGGTCAAATAATTTCCCACAGGCAAGGACCATCTTCCTTCATCAGGTCCCTGCTTACCTTCTTTACCAAACAATCAAGAAGAAAATTGGATATTTTAGAAACTGTAAAACAAAAGGATTGCCCTTGTTCCTCACTGGAGATTTCTCAGGGGCTGAAAACAACCAGCTAAGCTCCAAGAAATTTATTCTTGCAGACAGGTTTTTAGTTGACAATTGAATTGTCTCTTTTCCAACAGAAATTGTCACTAAATCTCCAACTAGTGGAAGGTAAACAGGATCCTTAATGTTCTTCCAGAAGCATGTATTCCTTGGAGAGCCACTGAAAACCCAAACTTTTTTCATACTAAATGACACAAAATGCATAGCCTCTGAAAAACACAACAGAACAGGATGTAGTTTTTATACTGTCATCTTTTTACTTTGTTTTATTACTGATGCTGTTTATTATCTTAATTCAGAGTATCTTAGTGTCTGCCTGCCTGAGGGATGTTCAGTTCATTGAAACATATTTTTGCTATAATCACAGCCTAATTTCATAAAGTGTTTCTCTGTTATTTAATGTAAAATGCAACTTGTGTGTGTGTGTGTGTGTGTGTGTGTGTGTACATGTGTAGGTATGTGTGTGTGTGCACAGGTGCTTGTGATCAAAGTGACTCCTCTGAATTTAATGGATTTCTAAATTTGTTATCTTCCATACAATTCAACTTCACAGATATATTAACTTTTAAACATTTGAGATTTTCTTTAAAAAAATTTTTATTTATTTTTATGTTATATGTATGAGTGTTTTACTTGCATGTAAATACATGCACCTGTGTCACATAATGCTCATGGAGGTCAGAAGAGGGGGTCAGATTCTCTGGAGCTGGAGTTACAGATGGTTATTAACTGCCCTGTAGCTGCTGGGAACCTAACCTTGGTCCTCTGCTAGAGCAGCCATTTCTCTTGACTACTGAGCCATCTTTGCAGTCCCCTGAGATTTTCCTGAAGTGCCCTTGGTGTTGTGTTTTCCTTACATGATTAACCTCAACCTTCAGTATTTTAAAGGGTGGACCTTGGCCTATAGTCAGTGCAATACATTATCTGAGTTCAGCACACATCACTGTTAGTGTAAGAGAAAGAAGTTATCCTAGCAACACATTGTCCTTTGTACTTCCATGTCTTTTATAATGAGTCAGCACAAATGACATGTTATCACAGTACAGTGACCACAGTTCAAGCCTGGTGGGCTTGGGGACCCTGACAGATATAAATTAAGACACCGGAGATGCAGAGGTTTAGATGCCAGTGCATGTTTATTGTGAATCAAACAGAGCTTATATACGAATCAGATCAGGAGTAACCAAGGAATCACTAAGGATATATCACTAACAGAAAGTAACCAGGGAACAACCAAGGACACAATACGTTACTATGTTACCTCACCAGCTGAAACTCACATGAATTCTACAGTATCCAAGATTCAGCTACTTAATGTTTATAGTATCTAAGATATAATGTGTACTGCTTATGATTACTCTTAGCAACTACTAGAATTCAGTAATCTTACATAGAAACCAAGCTATCCTATAACCTATAAACTGACACAGGACTCTTTAGTTATGTTTATAAGATTGCCAATTAATCAGGGAAGCATAGCCTGTCAACTCTGACCACAGAAGCAGAGAGCTGGGAAGCTCTTAAAGTGGCAGTCTTCTTTCTTCAGTCTTCTTTCTTTAATGCCTAAGTCAAGGCAGGCTGCCACAGTCTAACGCAGCAATGGCTGTGCATGCAGCAAAGCTCCCAACAACATGTTTTGTTGAAATCACATTCTCTGTATAGATTGTGAGTTTCCTAAACTCTGGCACTGAGCCTCATTTACCTTATTTATTTGTATAAGTATTATATCATACCTAGTATATAATTGTTCCTCTTTTTTTTTTTGAGACAGTGTCTCCCTGAAGCACAGTTGGCCTGGAACTCACTATGTTGCTCAGGCTGGTCTTCATCTCACAGAGATGCCTTCCGAGTGCTGGGATTAAAGGTGTGCACCACCACAGAAGCTCAATTATAACAAAAAAAGACATGCTTTTAAAATCCTTACAATAGGTTTATTCTCTGTAAACTATTAGAATTTCTTTGGCTGGGCATACTGAGGAATAGGTAGTTATTGCTTTCTTGTTACAGAGTTTGTACTTGCAGTGATAAAAAAGCTTTATAGATAGTGTTGATGGCTGTGCAACATTGTAAATATACTTAAGATAGCTGTATTTTAGACTTAAAATGGGTAGGGTGACAAAGTTCATGTTATGTTTATTTTATAACACCATAATGAAATTTATGTTCCCTATTAATCTGACCTCTAATCATTAAAAACCACATAATACATTCAGTCAACTATGGATAGACTGAATATTACACCTATAAAAAAGAAGTTGCAAAGTGAAATGAAAGTTTTAGAAGATCAAGAATATCTGGTAATACATAATGTAAGGTGAAAAGTTGAATCTTGAAACGTTGTTTACTATGTAAGTGAATGGACGGGCTGCTTTCATTTATTCCTTCAAAGTTGGTGGTGGGAGTTGGGGCACATCAGTACTCACAAAAAGCATGAAGGGCAGCTGTTTGAGGATTCTTGTCACCCTATCAACCTGGTTGGGGGGGCCTAGCAGAAAACTGGAAATCCTTATGCACCCAAAAGGCTACTGACTAATGAGGTAAACAATCAGACCAAACCCACAGTGGCCCTCAAAATATTGTGCATGTTAAACCCATCATTCTTAGGCAACCAGGAAGAAAGCAAAGGTCATCAGGAATGAGGTGAGAGTGTTTTCTGCAAAGTGGCATCTTTTGAAGCAATTCCTTGAGAAACTTCTGCTCTGGCTTTCCCTTGCACTCACACACTTTCCCTTGCACTGACACACTTCCAGGCATCTCACAGTGAATTGCCCAGTGACCATCTTCATCTGTTTCAAACCTAATGCTTGGTCCACAGGACCTTGGTTTCTTATTGCCTTCTTTGGCCAAGGTTGACACTCTCATTCAGGACACTCTTGTTCTAAGGACGTGGTGGTGGTAATTAATTAACTAATAAGTGTACATGTGCATTCTCAATTTCTTGAAGTGATAATAGGTCCTTTAATACCACTTTCCCTCTACTTCTAATACAGGAGATTCTGTACAGAGACAGAATAAGCCTCCATGACTCTTCTTTTCATGTGTTCTACATTTCCTCCTGACCCATTTGTTTTCCTTTTAAGACCTAAAGACCTATTATTAGTCTATACACTAACTCTGTTTGTATGGGTGAGTTGGTAAAAGTGCTTCAAAAACCTCAGATAGTGTATGATCCTGATTTATTGAGATTAGCAGAAGCAACAACCTTAAGCCAAGACCTCATTAGTCCTTTACCCATGCAGAAATTATTGTTCTCTCTTCTTTACAAAAAGGTCAAGTATTCTCACACGGATTTGTTTGGTATTAATGCCGTAGACTAAGGGGTTGAGAACAGGAGGTACAAGGAGATAAAGATTTGCCAGTACAATGTGTACCTGAGGAGGTACATGGTGGCCAAAGCGGTGGGTGAAAAATGAAAAAAAGGCAGGGATATAGAAAACAAGAATTACACAAATGTGGGCTCCACAAGTGCTGAATGCTCGGAATTGGGCATCCTTGGAGGGCAGTCGCAGCACAGCCTGCAGGATCAGGATGTAGGAGGTAGCGATGAGGACCACATCCATGCCAGTGACTGAAAGTGCTACGGTAAGACCATAAATGGTATTAGGCTTGATGCTGGCACAGGCCAGCTTCGCTATGCCCATGTGCTCACAGTAGGTGTGTGGGATGATGTGATGTCCGCAGAAGGGTAAGCGCTCGATAAGAATGACAAAAGGGAAGACAAAGAGAAGGCCACGCAGCACACATGCCAGACCGATCTTTCCAATCATCATGGCGTTGAGGATGGAAGTGTAGTGAAGTGGGCGGCAGATAGCCACATAGCGGTCAAAAGCCATGGCCAGCAGAACTGCTGACTCTGTGGCAAAGATAGCGTGAACAAAGAACATCTGGGTGAGGCAGCCACGGTAGGAAATGAGGTGGGACTTGAGCCAGAAGATTGTGAGCATTTTAGGCAATGTTGTTGAACAGAGAACCAGGTCAGTAACGGAAAGCAGGCACAAGAAGAGGTACATTGGCTCATGCAGAGCTCTGTCTGTCATAATGATGTAGAGGATGGTGCCATTGCCCACCAGAGCAAGGATGTACATGGAGCAGAAGGGAATGGCAATCCACACATGCTGGTCTTGCATTCCAGGGATTCCAAGTAAAGTAAATGTGGACGGGTGGAAGGCAGTGTCATTGGGGACTGAGGTAGAGAGCAGCATGGTGCAGAGAGCAGACCTATATCTTCCTGAAGGTGGTTAGAGAATGAAAGTGGTTAGAGAATGAAATGATGTCATCCTAAATGGCATTTGTGCCTACTAAATTCCACTCAATGCCCTGTCCTTCGTTCCCACCAATTCTGACAAATTTCATGCCTCCTTCACTTCTAGTACAGATTATTAAAATACTTTAGTAACTAGTCATGTTTATCTCACTTCCAGAATCTCTATCTTCCAGTGAGGGAGGCTTCTGCATAGCTGCCCAAATATTCTAACATGAATATAGTTAACTTCAAGGCAAACATAACATTTTTTACTCTCTACATTCTGTGCAGAATATTTTGTATTCGGGTCCCCTGGCTTACCCTCTACCATTTTGTATTGTGTTCTGAACCCTGGCTTGTATGGGCCACATGAACAGCCTCCATCACTCTTTTACTGGTAGGGCACATCAGCCTTCTATAGAATAGGAAATAGAGTGCGGTCAGAAGTTCATTACTCCTGCTCTGTTGGAGAAGGGTTGTTGAAAGCTTTCTGCACCCTGAGCTAAGATGTCACTTTAGCTCTGGTTTAGTCTGGTGACCATATCTTCCTCTTGTCCCTTTGCTCCAAGGATTGTAATAGTATTGCTGTCTCTTACCTATGGAGTTTCACAAACATCTGTAACTGTCCATATACCCACCACTTTGTAAATGATTTCTGAGTTACATTCTCCTAAGTTATGCAAGAGGAATGTTTACTGGCTTTCCTTCTGGGATGCTAAAACAAGCCCTGCAAATCTCTTTTTATGCCGCTTTGCCTATCAATCCAGCAGATTTAGCACCACATTTTACTATACACATGTCCACAATATCAAAGTGCTATGGAATACCTGAGACATGCTTTTTCAAACCAGCATGCCTTTTCATATGACCTTCTTTCTACACAGAAGCTGTTTCCATTGGTCACCTGTCAAACTGCTGCCATTCAAATATTAGCTGGATAAATTTCTTCTATGAAATCATTTACCCTACTTTTTTTTTCCTTTGGAGATCTTCAACATGTCTCCCTTTGAGAACAAAATTATTTAATAAAGGCCAACAAGATGGATCTCTGAGTTAAGGCACTTGCTAGTGAGTCGGATAACCTGAGTTTGATCCCCAGGACCCACATGGTGGAGGGAGAGAGCCAACTCCCTCTGTTGTCTGTTGACCTCTATCCATGCATCATGGTATATGAACACACACACACACACACACACACACACACACACACAAGTAAATAAATAGTTTTACATTGAACTTTCTGTCTGTTTTTTTGATATCCAACATTTGTGTGTTACAAACATTAGGACAACAAATAAAGTTTAATAAACAACGAGTAAAGGATTGAGCTCAGTAGTTAAGTCTTCTAACAGGCTTGGATAAGTGACTATTGGTGAAATACCTCCTGAAAACCATCCTTCAGAGCCAGACAAGACTGATGCACACCTTTAATCTCAGAACTCCAGAGGCAGAGGCAGGTGTTTCTCTGTAAGCTTTAAATAGAGAGTTCCAGGCCAGTTGGGGCTACAGAGAGACCCAGACTCAAAAAGTACCTTGCCCCAAAAAAAGAAAAAGAGAAAGAGAATCAGACAAGACCTCCCCTTGCTAGATCTCTATATAGTCCAAGAAAGGCTCCTTATCACCTCTTCTTTAATACAGAATAATGCAAATATTAACAAATTAATAATATATAACCTAATCGCATTGACTCTGTATAATGCATGTCTGTCTGCTTTCACTTTTTAAAGATTTGTTTTTATTGAATTTTTGTGTATTTCATACAGAGCATCTCAATCAATCTTAATCATCTTTATACCCATGGCAGTCATGTGGAAGTTTTCCTATAGACTATCTTTACCTCATTCTGCTTTGTGGCCTTAGAGTACGGTGTATCAGAGCCACTCAGTCAAGAAGTCACGTAGATTAGTGTGCCAGGACCTCTGTAAGTGGATAAGCCTGGCAAGGGGTGCAGAGACTGGGGGCTCACTGGTTAGTTAAATCAAGTTTGTCAGTGTGCCTGCACTGGGTATGCTAAATTATGCTAATAAGAAAAGAGAGAATATACCTATAGCCATTTTGCCTTAGGAGATGCTGCAAAGAAAGAAATAATCATTCCTACCTTGCTACAGTCTACTCTTCAAAGTCAGGGGTTCTGGTTTCTTAAAGGGACATCAGCATTTAGATCATCCAGTCATTCTCTACTACAAGGAATTTTAGAATGTGAAAGAGCCAAAGATAGTACCAAGTTATTGTTTAGTAACTATAAAGAACATCCCTCTTTACCTCCCCACTTACCTGAAACTGCATTAATAAAAGAGTGCGCATGGATTTCTCATTTACTAATATGTTTATATTGAGTCACTGTACATTTTCTAAGTAATAATGCTATTACAAGTCTTAACTAATCATGAATTATCTGATTTGTGTTTTAAAATTGTGACAATAGTTTACTGCAAATGTTAACCATAATTGGATCTTTTCTTAAAAATTCAAAAATCTAGGTACAACCTCAAAATAAGTGATTGTAAATATGCCAATGCCCATTTTGGAAAAGCATAAATGTTTTGGTTTCTAGCCTGGTAATACCTTTGAACAAGCAGTACAAATAGTTTTATCATCCGATTGGTAAATAAGTTACAAGACTAAACATGGTTACAACCTAAGTACAACCTAAACGTGGTATCCTAAAAAGGAGATCACCTGGTGGCTGCTTGTACACCAATGACTTATAGCTTCTGGAGGAAAGACACTTGACATCAGAATGTAGGACTCAGACTGTTTCTTTTTCATTGAGCTAATACATCTATAGTAGCCACACACAATAAATATTATCTTTCTTTAATAATTTAATAAATACTTTTGTTTCTCAGGCTACTTACTGTTTTTATTTCATTTCTTTTTCCAGGCGTCTTTTCCTGTCAGCCTATACTTAGTGGTAATTCTTCGAGATATTTCATATGCACGAAAGAACAAGAACATGCATGTTTGATGATACATTGAACTTGTAGTATAGGAAGAAAGAATGATAAACCACAATAATCCCCATTATAAGGATAAAATATGGTGTTTGCATGTGTGCTGTGTGTGAAGAAATGTTACAAGGGCCAGTTCCTACTCACAGAAGTCTTCCTGCAGGAAGCAATGGTCTCCAGATCTGAGTCTTCTTCAAATATTTCAAGCATCTTTTGCAAACCTCAGCTTCCACTAACAGTACCATCCTGAAGCTTTCCTTCCGGGGTCCAGTCTGAAACTCGAGAGGCCAGAACCTAGATTTAGCCTGCCTATGGTCAGAATATGTCCTACTTAAATTACCTGCTAACTATACTAACTTGAGTGATTTTGTATTCTCTCTCTGTCTCAGTTTCTTAATATAAAATACAGATAACAATACTTCATAATTAGTAATTTAGAAGGCATATGAAATCTGCACTATAGCCAAATAGTTTAATGCGCATTATTAAAATGCACACTGTTATTTCTCATGATTTGGAAGTCTTTGGTTTTATTGACCTATGTACTCACCTCTAAAAAGAGGAAATCTCATTTGGAAAACTCAAGGTGAGAGTCACATCAGTCTTTCTTGAGTCTGTAATGCAAGTGTGAGGGTGAACATATCCAAGGGTGGTCCCCAGTTAGCTAGATTAAGTAAATGTTCACAATAAAAGAAATGGAATGACTTTTCAATAATCCAGATCCCATAAGACTGCCAACTGCCCTGGGGGCAGTGGTTGAGGAGCTATTATTGAAGTATTTGGATCCCTTCAATACAAGAGGAGCAAGCACATTCTGTGCTCTGTGAAGAGAGGAGGAGGGAAGCAGGAATGATTACATTATCTGGTAAAGAAAAATTTTCTATCAGGATGCTTAACCAAGCATCTGCTAATTTCTACCAGGGAAATGTTGCAGCAGGGTCTTTAACTTTATGTATGTGACATTCCAGGGCTATCTACATGAAGTAAATCAGATTTGAAAGGTACCAATTGTGTTCAGACATTATAGACAGGCTAGCCTTTCTCGGGATACTGTGTGGGTATTAAAAACTCAGGAACAATGCTGTTCACTAGTGATAAAAAAAAAAGTGGTCTGACATGAGTGAGAGAAAGATACAACTATAGTCCTCCTCTGTAGTGAGAATTTTGCTATTTATAATTCCCCATAGAGTCGTGCTGTGCTCTTTAAATATGCACAATGAATTTTGCTTTTATGAAAAAGGAAACTACAAGAACCCTGACCTCATTGCTTTTAGGAAGACTGCTCCTAGAGATCTATCTGGCTTATCTTGAGCTCAAGAAAATGCACAAGAAATAATCTACGCACAAGGAAAGAGGACTTGCGTGTGATAAATGTTGCTATGAACTATAACTACTCAAATGCCTGAAGGGTTCAAGAAACTTAGTGTCTGTAAAAGAGTCAGGAGTAGTCTGCAATGACCTACAGAGAGGTGAAAACTATCAGGATCACTGAATGGCTCTCATCTCCCTGCCCTCACCCACCTCTCATGTCTTTATGAAACTCTCCTTAACATTATTTAGACTAGATCCATTGAACAGAAGACTGGACCCGGTACAAGCAGCATAGTTCCTGGTACGTGAAGTCTGGTCCTATTTATCCCTACCTTGTGATGGTGTTTTTGGTCGAGAGAGGCTGTGGTTGGCTTGGAGCACCAGAGGTCACAGATGCTAAAAACAGAGGTGAATTTTCAGGCATAATCTCAGGGGAGACACTAGCCATGGCAGAATCTTCTTTTAAAGTGTGGATTTTTTTTCCAGCACAAGTGAAGGAGTCCCCATAGACCTACACTAAAAGAATAAGATATCCAGATTTGGGAAAAGTAATGTAGCCATATTTTGCCAGACTGTAGTTCAATAATTTAGGAAGGAAGAATTACTGAATAAAAGAAGAACTAGAACAACAGACCATGGGTTGAATTTGCTATTTCCTTGTCTAGTAGCTCACATCCACTATTTTCAAGAAAAGATCACTGTGTGTGTGTGTGTG